TTTGTTCAATGTGGGGACCTTAGGGTGTCATCATTATCCACATAATCTTGATGGGCTGGTAGTCAAATTTTGTTGACACATCAAATCATGATGACTAGAACCACTATGTTACTGCAACTGCCTTCTACCTCACAGCTGTGAGATGCACAGTGTTCACCGGCTGTTGAACAGTCTTTGGATCACACTTGGTCTTGTCCCTATCTGGAAAAATGTTTCCAGCAGCATCATTCTGAGCACCGAAGCCATCCACTCCATTAGGTCAGGGTGGCGATCCAAGAAGTCAAACAATTGTGTTGCTTTGATTTCCAGAAGAAGGGGATTATTTGCCATCAAACTTGAAGTGATCCCTCATTTAGATCACGCTTTCCACTCTTGATAATAATCAAGTTGCTGTCGTTGATTTTGATGCTGCTCCTGACATCATAACTTGTTGACAATCTGTCCAGGTTCCATTTGAAGAATGTCTACAAAAGCAAGATGCTATGGAATGGTGTAAAAATGAAACAATTTTTCCCTATCTTTCTTTCAGAATTTTGTTTATATTCAACGGTATCTTTGCACTTCCTTCACAGATTGTAAAAGTGACAAGCTTTTATTAAAATATAAATTGGCCCAGATTTTCCAACAGCCAAACAGGCATTATTCCAGTGTAATTGAGAGATGCATGTGGGCATCCTGCGAAATCCTCTCTTAGCAGACTTTGAAGGAATTGCCTGGGAAACTGAAGACTCTTTACGTAATTCCTCTATGTCTGGAACCATTATTTTCTTATTTAAATGGAGAGCTTAGAGGGTTCTGCTGAAATTAGGTAAGTACTCAGGAAAAGTTAAACTATTAAGTCCAACCTCCTGAGTAACTATTCAATGAACCCCATGCTTGCCTCATAGCCTGAACTACACCTTCCCCAGATCACTTGCATCCCTCACCTGTTGCAAGGCCTCTCTCTGACCACACCACCCAACCGTGGGCCAACAACCCCCTCCCCCTCCCCCTCCCCCACCCCCAACTGTTATGGACCCAATCTGCACTGGATCTGATCTGTCTTTGCCCTCTTCCCATCTGTCACTGCCAGGCCAGACCTGACCCGACCCACACCACCCTCCCCTGCTGGACCCAATCTCTCCTACCCATCCTGACCTACTCTGAAAACTGCCACACTTAGTTGGCCCTCTTGCCACCCTGTACCCTGTCACTCTACCCCCAACAATGTATTCTCTACTCACCTGTCATCCCTCCCACTTAGCACCTAACCCCGACCCAGATGGCAACCTACTTAACCAGCACCCTAACCTTGCCCCCAGTACCCTGCATTTTATACTTGTTTACCAGTAGCTATTAAAATGGCTGTCTGTGATTCTGGAGCTTTAGAATCATACAGCATGGAAACAGGCCCTTCAGTCCAACTCGTCCATGATAACCAGGTACTCCAAATTGAACTAGTCCCTAAGGTTCTTGAGTAGATTTGTCGCTTGGGTTGTGGATGCTGTGGTTGGTTCGCTCGTTGAGCTGGTTCGTTGGTTCGCAGACGTTTCATTACCCTGCTGGGTAACATCATCAGTGCAGCCTCCGATGAAGCGTTGTTGTGTTTTCCCCCCTGGTATTTAAACTCTGGGGTCCGTTGGATTTGGTTACCTCGTTTCCAGGTTTCCTTCGCAGTGGTGTATATATAGGGTTTAGTTCTCTGTGTTTGTGGCGGAGAACCAGGCCTTTAGGAATTCCCGTGCTTGTCTCTGCTTGGCCTGTCCTAGGACCCAGGTGTTGTCCCAATCGAACTGGTGGTTCTCCTTATCCGTGTGAATGGAGATGAGTGTTGATTGTGTCGTTTTGTTGCTAGTTGGTGTTCATGTACTCTTGAGGCCAATTTTCTTCCTGTCTGTCCAATGTAATGTTTGTCGCAGTCCTTGCATGGAATTTTGTATATTACTAGTCCCATTTGCCTGCATTTGGTCCATCTCCCTCCAAAATTTTCCTATTCATGTACCTGTCCAAATGCCTTTTAAATGTTGTAACTGTACCTCTTCTACCACTTCCTTTGACATCTCTTCCATACACACACCACCCTGTGAGAAAGTTGCCCCTCAGGTCCCTTTTAAATCTTTCCCCTCTCACTTTAAACCTATACCCTCTAATATTGGACTCCCCTAGTTTGGAAAAAGACCCTGGCTATTCACCCTATCCATGCCCCTCACGATTTTATAAGCCTCTATAAGATTACCCCTCTGATTCTCCCAGTCTATCCAGCCCCTCTTCACAACTCAAACCCACCAGTCCTAGCAACATCCTTGTAAACTTTTTATGCTAGGTTAACTCTAGGTTAACAGCATCTCCCCTATAACAGGGCAACCAGAATTGAATGCAGTATTCCACAGTGGCCTGAGTAATGTCTTGTACAGCCACAACATGACATCCGAACTCCTTTATTCAGTGCTCTGACCAATGAAGGCAAGTGTTAAATTTTAGGATACCACATTAGATTGTTGTAAGGTGGTGGGGGGTGGTGGTGGTTGGGGAGAGAGGATGGTGGTTGCCCTTCCCAGCAGTTCTGAACTACAGGACAACTACGTTTCTGAGGGAGCGTCGATCAGAATCTCCTGTCGGAAATATGTAGCTCTCCTTTCATTGCCACTCAGCCACTGTTTTTTCAATCTGTGAAAGCTTGTTTCTCCTCGAGAATGAGGCCTAATATCTTTTTTGTGGGAGTAAATTAATTTACTAATATTTGACGTGCAGGATATAGGTCAACCTGGGTATGCTTGGCATATGCATTTATTGCAGCACAGAAGTTGCATGCTGAAGTTTATACAGTTTAGTAGCAAACTTTTAATATGCTCTTTACTATATAAAGGCGGTTATCTTTAGTGGAGTCTAGAGTAATTCCCTATAGTGAAACAGGACCAGGTATTTTCTTGTGTTTTGCATTGATCCAAAACTGATAATGGTGATTGAGATTTGCATAATATTGTGATATCAGTGTTTGTGAAAATAGCAAATAATCTGTTCCACTAATTCTTGATCCAGCACTTGCATTATGCCAGTGTTTTTTTTTGTGATTTTTTTTTTCATTAGCAGAAATATGTATATAATAGAAATTTGAAATTTTCAGAAATGTCCACTTAATGTAGACATATGTACAGGATTAGAATAACTGCTAGTTTGATGGGATGGTAACTTGTAATTTCTGACCGCGACTTTTTGTGTTGTATAACAGAAATTGGACTGAAATAACAAACCTTTTTGTTAATCATGGAACATAATCTCAGGACTACCAGGTTAGTCACTTGAACCTGTTTTGCCATTCATTCATGCTATGTATAGGTAATGTACTTCAAAATTTTCTTTTAACCAGCTTTTGATAATATCACTTGATATGACTAACTCTAGTTTTTAAAAAATCTCTTGATTTCAGCCTAAAATTTCAATTATTCCAGCTGTCACAGGCTTTTAGGTGAGAGAATTTCACATTTCCACTATACTTTGTTAGAGAAAATCTGCTTCCAGATTTTGCTGGAAAGTGCTAAACTTCTAATTTTAAAATTACATAATTGTAGAACCAAAGTATCGGGTTAAAGCCCCGGAGATCACTTGATCTGTTGTGCCCCTGCTGGTTAGCTGCAAGCCAACTCAGCTAGTCCCATTTTTATGTAGCCATGCAAGTTTCCTGTCTTGTTTCCTTTTGAAAGCCATGATTGAATCTGCCTCCACCATGCACTCCTCATATTGCCATTGGCTCCTTTTTCATTTGTTTTAAAGTGGTACCCTCTAGTTCTTCATCAGTGAGAACAGTTCCTGTCTCTATGTTGTCTAGACTCTTCATGATTTTGAGTTACTTTTATAAGACCTAAAAGCAGATGTAGACCATTCAGCCCACCTGTTTCATCATTCAGTGATATCATGGCAGATCAGATAGTCCTCAACTCTACCATCGTGCCTTTTCCCCATAACCTTTGATTCCCTTAATGGTTAAAAATCTGCCTAAAACTCTTGAATAAACTTAATGACCCAGCCTTAGCAGCCCTCTGTGGTAAAGAATTCCATAGATTCACAGCTCTTTGAGGGAAGAAATTATCTCAAAGTTTCTCTTGCCATTCTTTTCACAACCCAACTTCCCCAACTGATCCATCTAACTGAAGTCTCTTATTCTTGGAACAGGTCTCCTAAATCTGTTCTGTGCTTGCTATGGAGCCTTACATCCTTAAAAGTGTGGTGCTCAGAATTAGACACAGTCCTCCTCTACTTCAGGCCAAACCGGTGTTTTATCTCTTTGTCTTAATTTCTCAGCTTTTGTACTCTTTTTGACTTTATCTATGAAACCTAGGTGCCCACATGCCTTTTTATGCAGTTTCTTAGCCTTAACCTGCAACCTTCAACAATTTAGGTGCATTACCATCCAAAATCTCTGTTCCTTGTACCCCTTTTAAAAATACTCTTTATTTTAGACCATAAGATATAGGAGCAGAATTAGGCCATTTGGCCCATTGTGACTGCTGTGCCATTCTCTGGGCAGGCAGTGGCCTAGTGGTATTGTCACTGGACTGTTAACCCCGAGACCCATATAATGTTCTGGGGACCCGGGTTCGAATTCCGCCATGGCAGGTGGTGGAATTTGAATTCAATAAATATCTGGAATTGAGAGTCTAATGATGACCGTGAATCCAGTGTTGATTGTCAGGAAAATCTCATCTGGCTCACTAATGTCCTTTAGGGAAGGAAACTGCCATCCTTACCTGGTCTGACCTACATATGACTGCAGACCCATAGCAATGTGGTTGACTCTTAACTGCCCTCTGGGCAATTAGAGATGGGCAATAAATGCTTCCTGGCTAGCGACGCCTTCATCCCATGAATAAATAAAGAAAAAAAATTCAACGATAGCTGATATGCTTCTCAATCCATTCTGCTGCCTTCTCTCAGTAATCTTTGATCTCTTTACTATTCAAGAACCTATCCATCTCTTTCTTAACTACAATGCCTAGGCCTCCACTGCCCTCTGTGGCCATGAGTTTCACAGAGTGTCCACCCTCTGGCTGAAGAAATTTCTCCTCCTCTTAGTTCTAAAGGGTTGCCCCTTCATTCTGAGGCTCTGCCCTAGGTCTGAAATTCTCCTCCTATTGGAAACATCTTCTCTATGTCCTCTAGCACTCTTAAAATGAATGCTAACATTGCATTTGCCTTCCTAACTGCCAACTGAACTTGTATGTTAACCTTAAGAGAATCCTCAACTCACAAATCCCCTTGTACTTCAGTTTTCTGAAGCCTTACCCCATTTAGAAAATAGTCTCTGCCTCAATTCTTCCTACAAATGCATGACCTCACACTTTTCTACATTTGTATTCTATCTGCCACTTCTTTGCCACTCTCCAAGCCTGTCCAGGTCCTTCTGCAGCCTCCTCCCTTTCTCAACACTACATATCCCTCCATCTATCTTTGAGTCCTCTGCGAACTTAGCAACATGCCGTCGGTTCACTGGTCACTGACTGCCATCCTGAAAAGATCTCTTTATCCCCAATCTCTACTTTCTACCAGTCCGCCAATCCTCTGTCCGTGCCAGCACTTTGCCCCTAACACCATGGGCTCTTAGTGTATTTAGCAGCTTCCTGTGCAGCACCTTATCAGAAGTCTTTTGGAAATCCAAATAGATCATGTTCATTGGCTCTCCTTTGTCGAACTTGCTTGTTACTTCCTCTAAGAATTCTAACGGATTGTCAGGTATGACCTCCCCTTGATGAAGCTGTGCTAACTCTGTCCTATTTTATCATGAATTTCGAAATATTTCGCAATTTTACCCTTTAATGACTTTAAATTTTTAGCATCTAAGATTGTTCTTGTGAGACTTCTTACCATAATTAAACACTTTACATTTCTCTATTATATTTGATCTGTTTTGTGTCCATCCATTCCTGCAGCCTGTCTGTGTCCTTTGGAGGTCTGTCATTCTCCTCGCGGTGCACAATACTTCCAAATTTCTTGTTGTTTGCAGATTTTGAAATTATGCCCTACGTACCCAGGTTTAGGTCACTAAGATACATTGTGAAAAGTTTCAGCCCTAGAGCACCTACTCCTTACTTTGTCCAGTCTGAAAAACAACCATTCGCTACTGTACTCTCTGTTTACTGTTAACTTTGTATCCATACAACAAAAATAGAAATTGCTGAAAAATCTTAGGTCTGGCAGCATCTGTAGAAAGGAATCAGAGTTACCGTTTTGGGTCCAGTGACCCTTCTTCAGAACTGCTTGAAGAAGTGTTTTGAAGAAGGGTCATTGGACCCAAAACGGTAAGTCTGATTTCTTTCCATGGATGCTGCCAGACCTGCTGAGATTTTCCAGGAATTTCTGTTTTGGTTTTAGATGTTCAGCATCCACAGTTCACTTGCTTTTTTTTTGTCATATTCATGCACCATTGTCCTCTCTATTCCACAGGTTTCAATTTCACTGGCAAGTCTTTGATTTTGCCTTTTCTAAAATGCCTTTTAGAAGTCCATATACACTGTATTAACCACATTACCCTCATCAACTCTTTGTAATTGCAGCAAAAAACTCAATAGACATAGATAAATCTTATTTATGTTAACAATTCATGCTGACCTTATGTAATTAATCGATACTTGTCAGAGTGACTGTTAATTTTGTCTTGGATTATTGTTTCTGAAAGCTTTTCTATTACTGGTTGAAGTGACCATTACTTGCTGGATTTATCCTTACACCCTATGTGAGTGAACAAGGTTGCAACATTTCTGGTTGGCTTTGACACTGAGACATATTAATAAGGCAGCTTGCAGTTCCAGTTGGGTGAAATTAGGGCCATATTTGCAGCTTTGCTCCTTTGAAAATGAAACAAAAAATGTACTTTCTGTACCTCATGTACAAATGCTTCCTGAAGGCACTGTAGTGAAATGTCTACACATGAAGCTTCTTGCGTGTTGGCACAATGCTCTGCGCATGAATGAATATATTCTCTCACCTCTGGGTGATTCTGATATCATTGTCATTGGGCAAGTTATTTAATACACCACAGCCCAAAGTTATTCAATTGCCCAGCTTAATACCAATCACAGATAACAAGGTGTAGAGCTGGATGAACACAGCGGGCCGAGCAGGAAGGCTGACGTTTCGGGCCTAGACCCTTCTTCGGGCTTCTGCTTCGCCTGCTGTGTTCATCCAGTTCTACACCTTGTTATCTCAGATCCTCCAGCATCTGCAGTTTCTACTATCTCTAATACCAATCACATTTCTTATGTCAAACTCCAGTATAATGTTAAGGGTTTATTCATTGCATACTTAAATTTTATTAAAATGGTTAATTTATTTTTATGATAAATTGTACTTAAGAACACTGAATCAGGAGTAAGAAAAGGCCCACTGAACCTTCTCCTCTTTGTACAGTAATTTGATATTATAGAATTGTAGCATTCATTCCTGGCTGAAATTTTCGCTAGGCCTTGTACTGATCATGGCAATCACAGAAGAAATCTAGGGTGAAATCTTATCGGTGTCTGAGCACTGTGGGCTATGATGAGATGTGTGGAAGAATGGGGCGACAAGTGCAGTGAGGTCCAGCTCTATGTCAGGATTGTCTTGCTATCTTTTTATACTTTTCACAAGCAGCATGGCAAGATTCTCACGAGGCAGTGGTGAAATGCAAATTGATGAATAATATTAAATACCTTGTTTAATGCCACAACTTGACTTATCAATATTCAGATTCTCATCGTACCAAATCTGCCAAAAATTTAGATATTGGAAAAGCTTGACTAGGAAACCAGATTGATTATCTGCTGGATTCAGCTCATCACTTGCTGCAAATGACCTCAATTGTTGGGAAACTGGGTACAAACATCTTAGAGCACACTCGCTGGGCACTGGCCACTCATCTCTCCCACTCAAGTCAACAGATATTAGTATCTGACGTGCCAGCCTCAAAGAACCCTCATGGTACATCTCTGATCTACTTCCAGTGCTCTTTTGCACTTAAAGGTTCCACTGGCAACTATCATTGTAATGGTGCTACAGGAGCACTGTGTTCAGGAGCTGGACCAGACTGTATCTCTGGGCTGTTCCTGTTACAGCAGACATTCATTCTGATCCACTCTGGGTGGCCATAACATCCCTGATTTCATTGCATTGCCTTTTTTGCACTTTTCCCCTTCAGTCACCAATAGCAGGCTCATATATTACTGCTGTTCTTGCTGTGCAGTGGAGCACCAACACAAAGCCAGGAAACTTGTCATGGTCGTTAACAGGCCTTAATCAAGTCAAGAGGGATAGACTTTGC